AGGCATCAGTAAAAAAGACTTCGAATGAAAACATTTTAGTGCAAAAGCTTTTGAATGGTATTGACATGAAGATAAAGGAAAATACTGGAAATGATAAAGAGTTTCATTAAATCATAAACACTTGGTGTTATCATACGTACATTGCTCGTGCATTCGTTTCCCTAGCCATGTGGTATTTTGAATGTTTACTGAGTTTTTTTGTACAATAGATATGACACACGAAATCCTAATGCTAAGACTTCTATTTATACTACTTCGACCATAACGGTCTTGCTATAAGATTCTGCCACGTTCAGAACATACAGAGCAATGCCTCTTTCTAGCTTCCACGCGTCTTCGAATGCTCCAGCGCATATATTTTAAATTTCGAACATCCCGCTCGCATTTGAATTTCAAATGTTTTGGCACTTCTTCGCTTCGAACGCATTTCTTGGACACATCCTTGTTAACATTTCGAGACTTCTTTGAATATATTCTCATAACTGTCACTCGAAGCTCCAAGCTTTGATATGCCCATTCGAAGCACTGCTTCTACCATTTCGAAACATGACATCTTGCTTTATTCCAATCGAAACGTCCAATTTGCTTTACTTCTAATAATATCATCAAAATCTTCAGCCAACAACATGATGCTCTACTTCCCTCTCAGAAGTTCTCGCAGTCATACGCAACTCATGCGCCTCTAGACTACTTTGCAGCTCTTCAATTCTCATGGTGCTCAGATCTTTGGAATATTCAATTGCTACCACAATGTAATCAAACTGACAAGTTAAATATCTCAAGATCTTCTCAATGATTATTTGTTCAGAAAGAGTTTCTCCACAAGCTTCATCTTATTAGTGATCAGAATCACTCTAGAGATGTACTCAGAAACCTTCTCATTGTCCTTCATATTGAGATTCTCATATTTCTTTCTGAGAGACTGAAGCTTCACCTTCTTCACTGATGCGTCACCACCATAACATCTGACCAGTGTGTCCCACGCAGCCTTTGCTGTTTCAGAATCAGCAATCTTCTCAAACACATTTGCATCCCCACATTGATGAATGTAAAACAACACCTTCTGATCTTTCTTCCTTAGCGCATTTTGTGTTATCTTCTGTGTCTCTATTGTGTCTGCTTCTAACAGATCATAGTCATCGGTGACAAGATCTAACACATCTTGAGAACCAAATAACACGCGCATCTGGATCTTCCAACGATTCCAGTTTTTGCCATCAAATACTGGAAGCTTGGAATGGACATCGCCGTTGTTTCTGTTCATCTTCTACCTTGTGCAATTTACGCAGAAACTCAATAAAGTAGTGTTTTTCAAATCCCTGGAATCAGAAACAACGATTATCACACATCACCTCACTGTTCTCTCGTGTTTCCCGTTTTCCCCGTGGATTTTGAATCGGAGCTCTAGATACCAAATGTTGGTGCACAAAGAAGAGATGAAAGACAAAAAGAATATATTAAATGACGGCTACAATAATAAGGAATAATAATTTACAATGAATTACATTGAGCTACCTCACTAGGCTATTTATACACTAAATATCCTCTAACAAAGATATAAAAAGATATAATAATATCTTCTAAAAAGATATTCCTAAAATATAGATTAATATCCAAAATATATTCCTAAAATATAGATTAAATCTAACGCATATTATTTTTATTGACTCAATCGTTACTTTTCTTAATCTTCATATAACAACCTTAAACGATATTATTTTGAAACTGAGGGAGTATTGTTTTAGATTTAAATGGCTCCTCGCTAATGGACAATGAGAATGCTCTTTGAATTAGTCGGTTCTGAGGAAAGATTCCAAGTTTAAAAAAATCACTCCCTCAATTTCAAAATATGTGTCGCTTAAGATTTTTCACACAAATTAAGAAATGCAATGATGTTGTCATAAGACATTACAGTTTTACAAAATTAACCCTATTAATGTATTAGAAGTAGTCTAAAGAACAAAAAGTAAATGACACAATTAAAAAAATAATAATCATTACTATATTGAAAAATGAAAATGACAGTCATTTTGAAACAAAATTTATTTGTTAAACGACAGACATTTTGAAACAGAGAAAGTATAATTTCACAATAGCTTTTTAAATTTGTTGGTTTAGATATGAAACCAATTTAAAAAGTAGATTTTTTTTACTAATATAAAAAGTCAATTCCAAAATAGTGAGTGAACCGAAACCTATAAAGTACGGATTTCGACACATATATTGGGATACAACACGACACGAACACTTTGACACATATAATATTAAAAATATAAGACACCAACACGATTTCATATAAGATAGTATTTGAGTTTCATTTATCTATTGAGTTGAAAATATTATAATCAGAATTAATGTCTTTAATTTTTTATTTTATTGTTAACATTAGTTAAATACATGTTTAAACTTTTTTAATGTAAGTGAAATTTGTTCAAAAAATATATAAAAGTTTGTTGAAGTAAAAAAAGTAAAATGTTAAAATATTTGTCTAACTTATTTGCCATAGATGGTATGAGTGTTAAACGTGTGTTAGACACTGATTCAAAGAATGTCGAAGTAAAGAAAAAAAAAATAGAAAATATTTATTTGACTTTTTTATATTTATTTAACATTTTTCAACTATGTTATATGAATGTAATATAAATATCGCGCCTAATCTTAGATGCATACGTATTAGTGGTAGGATATTTTACGGCCATAATATAATTTAGGAAACATTGATGTTTGAAGTTCTTTTTCACTGAAATGATTTTTGAGGCTGAGAAAGCAATATGAGAGATAAAGAGATAATATAGAATGTCAACCACACTTCACTTGTGGGAAATGAAGCTAAATTCCAATCTCATTGTTTTGGAATCATATTTCCAATTTTTGGACTTATCCCCCTACATAGTAGGTTTGCTTGCGTGTGTTCAATTGTTAGCAATAACAGCTGTGAGTGTTTATGATATATTCATCTTTTGTCTTTTTCCTTCCATTCTCATATCCTTAGTTCAACGTGATAACATGTAGGTGATTGACATCAATACACGTATGTGTAGAAGAAAAATGTTACTTATTAAAATCTTCATAAAAAATTATTTAAAAAACTTCATTTGATTCATTTTTTGGAAGATTAGATGAGCAAATCTTCATTTGATTAAGTTGCAACAGATTTCAACCCCTTAAATAAATAGTATGGCATATAAATTCAGAGAAAAAATCAGAGAAACTTTATGTTAGTTAAATTTTGTATCTATAAAACAGTGAACCAAAATACTAATTCACAATTGAATAAAAAATATTTTTATAGAGGAATTAACATGCCACCTCCAATAGATTATACATGTCATCTTTTTATACATATGTTTTTACTATTATACATTTGTGACTAATCACCAAATTTCAAAAAACATGAGATTTATTGGAAATTTAGAGATTTACGTTAAAATTCGAGAAAATTCAGATATTTTTGAAATTTTTAGAATTTTTTTTTGAAATTTTCACTTCAATACCAAAAATTTCAATATATTTCAAAATTAAAAAAAAAAATGGAAAATAACATGTTTAATTTTGAAAGTGACATGTTAATTTCTCTATTACTATAAACTTTATATCTAAAGAAGATTCTTTCTCCACTCCTCATCTTTTATAAACCACACACTTCCAATTTTAGCAATAGTATTTTACATCTTTAATCTCAATCCTATCAAATAAGTACCTTTCATGGAAGGATTCATGCTTATTTTGTGATTGCAATACCCTCTAACTAAGTCTCACATGTGAAAACTACTTATCAATAACTTTCTATACACCTTTTAATTGGGAATGATATATCTAATTACAACTAAAATGAAAATATTAATACATTTTATATATAGGAATCAAGCTTCACTAAACAAAACTGTTGGGGTGCTTCATGGGACCTATGCATGAAAATCGATTGTGACAACTGGATTTTAAGAATAATTGTTTAACTTTATGCGTCCTTGTGGGGTTTTCCTAGCACGTAGCATTGATTGTTTGTTGATTAACTCATACTATTATGGGATTTGATGGAGCCATCTTCAGTATTAATCTCAAAGATGAGTGGCTGGCCTACTGGATTGGTTGGTATTTTGACTAACTAGCTTCTACGGCTTGTTTCCACTGGAAGATGGGAGTACCATCCATGATTAACCAACAGAAGAAAAACAGAAGATAAATGTAGTCAATTAAATGAAAAGCAAAGGACGTAAGTAAAAGTGTATTTAACTATGGTAATATAAATGTTAAATGAAATTATAAGATACCCAACAATCAAAAATATTAATCGCCGTCTATGACTGGAAATAAGTAATAGTGCTATAACAGAACCGAGCAAGAAGCTGAGAATCAAATGCATTTGCAATTGAAATTTACTTAAAAGAGTTGAACAATTTCAGACAGGTTATATCAGAACTTTCTACAATTACATTTCTGAGCATATGAGCCAACATAATTTGGATGGTGCGACCAAATAATAAAATGGGGAAACTTGGAATGTACACTTTCTTAGGTATCTCTAGCAAGTAAAACTCTATTCAAGATTTTCACTATATATGTAATGTAACCCTTTGGCTCATCTTCAAGGAAGTGTAAAAATCAAAACAAAATGGCAAGACTACATTCATTTTGCATTGTAAATGTCATATCATTAACAGCTTCAGCTGCCTTGTTCGAGGATGCAAATCCATATGTAGGATATTTCTCGGATCACAGAGGAAACCAAAAAGGGATCTGCAATATCTTATTCCTATTGGTGGGCAAAAACTCTAGAGTATTTACAATAGCCGAAGCTAAGGGAAGAATGAATGCCAACAGCCAGGAATCAGCCATTCTAATCCCACACAACTAACTACTCGCTTCCCGGAGAGTATTCTTGTCTTGAAGGACACCCACCAGGTTGAGTCCTGCAAAAACTCCAGAGTATTTACAATAGCTGAAGCTAAGAGAAGAATGAACGCCAACAGCCAGGAATAGGCCATTCTGATCCCACGCAACTAACTACTCGCTTCCCGGAGAGTATTCTTGTCTTGAAGGACACCCACCAGGTTGAGTCTTGAATGCTTTTCACCAGCAAGACGTTTATCAGATGGTCCTGCCCCAAGGATGCCCATCGAGTTAGTATCTAGCGGTCGAATTCCATTACTCGTGACTCTCCGAGGTTGTGGCTGACCCTGAAAATGACCATGGCCATTATTTTCAGCTCTTCTTCTTCGTTTCCATGCGTCAGACATGTCTGTCTCACTAGTTGGTTTGGTCACTCGGTAGGCAGTCTCATTTTGGAGTTCCCTCTGCCTCTCCATATGACGAGGGAAATGATTAGTGTTCCCATTTCGGCTAAATGGACCAGATACTGACCCATTGGGAAGAGAGGGGCCAACCCCTGCCGCATTTTGCTCCAATTTAAGTTTTGAATAAATTTGGCGAAGCCTCTCCCCTGAAAGATGGGAAAAGGTAGAAGCATACTCCCACAATCTTGTAGTCATTCCTGTAAACCAAAGAGGGAGAAAAAAAAAATCATGCATTGAAGAAACATAAAACGCAGACAGTGCCAGTCCTCAAAATACGTAGGAAACCACTGGAGTTCTAGAAATAAAGGGACCCAGGCAGGCAAGAAGCAGACTCTTTTCCAAGAAAAATTTCAGCATGGGAATGAAGCACATACTATCTTGCTTATAGGGTTCGACCTCCTGTTCTGAGACAATATGATCTATCCTTCGCCCTAGAAGCTGCAAGTAGTTACGGATTTTTGAAAGCACCTAAAGTAAAGGAAGAAAGAGAGTAATTAGAGTTCTCGACATTTGAAATTGAAAATAAACATGCAAGAATGGATAAAATCCCCAACGATGGGTGAACCTTCTCCTTCGGAAGATCGGCACTGGTTCTCTGCAACCTCTGAAGACGTTGCAAAGTTTTCCCTTCTTCAACCATCACATCTTGACACCATTCCAACCATTTTACCTCCTTGAACTGCTCATATACTTCCTCGTCATCATCAGACATTTCACCCTCCTCCTTTACAATAGGTTCAACTTTTAGAGGTTTCTGAAGTTTATCCTTTCTCATTTGGACATCAACTTTATAAGAACCTGTGTTTTTCTTTTTCTCCTGCACACGTGACAATGAGATGTCTAAAAGATGTTCTTTATCTTTCTTGGAAGTCTTCTTTCCAACTTTGCTATAGGCATTTTTCACACCAAGAACAGCGAGTTCCTGTATGAATTACTTGAGAAATTAGCTTGAGCTATCCATGGGAAAAAATATGAAAAATGAGCCAAAAGTTACAAGTAACACAAATTTGACTGCATCAAAGCATATAATCATCAATCAAGTGTGAGCATGAGAGGTGAGAGGAGTTAATCACTTAATCTTGACCATAGAGCCAGCCATACATGAATGATCAAGAACAGTTTTACTTAGACCTTATATTTGATCATCCGTGATTCATTTTATGGTTTAGATTAAGACCTCTCGCTCTCTCAACTGATATATACTTCTATACTGTTTGACATGTAACAAAATTAGAGCATCTGGAGATTTTCTCTCCATGAAGCCTTTAACCCAATAAAGAAAAAAAACACCCTCAGTGCATCTGTTTTGAATCATCAATGGTGCACACAATGTGTGGTATTATCTCCTAAAAAGTGAAATTCACAATGCAAGAGAACATTGTTGAATAATATTAAAACCATATACATCTGGGAAATATCAAGTAATACCAAAACAAATCATGAAAATAAATTTTGAAATGTACTGGGAAATAAAGCGTTAAAAGAAAGAGGTGCAGAACTTAAAGAACCTCATTATTGATGTGTAAGTGGCATATCAGAGAAAAATAACAAAAAGGAGAATATGACTGAAGAGATCACATACTTGCTCCAACAGGGCATTAGTCCGGTCTCTCAAATTTGGAGCTCGCGGCAAGAAAGTTTCATGGTGCTGTAGTTCTACTGGTGCAATTTTTTTCATAAGACCAAGCCTTTCATCCAATCTTATCATTTCCCAATTACCAAATCCATGATAATGTACTCCAAGAAGCAATCTTGCATCATCAACTAATAGCAAGTGAAATAGAATTAGAAAAGGCGGAAATCAACCCACGTCTGAATGAATATACAAATGGCATAGAGGATAGCACCTACTTTGATTCCATCCACAACCTTTTGACCAGTTTGAAGGTTTGAGATATGTTAAAACACGGAATTGTGCAACAGGATCTTCGTACCGACTAATGCGCTTTGCTAGCAGTTGAAGTTCTTGAACACGGATAAGTAACTCATTTGCCTTCACCGGGACACCATAAAAATCCAACAAAGGCCCCTGGAAGCAACATTACATGCATTAAGCATCCTAGTAAATAATGAGAATACAAATATTAAATTAGCAACTCCACACAAGATTTATGTTATAGAAACCTTCAGATCCAGACTTCCAACTTCCACTGCTTCTCTAGAGCCATCAATCAAAGCATTGAAGAGTTCTGCTTGTGCTTTGAGCGGAGCTGCTTCTACTGCACCACCAACTTCAGCAGCAATCAAATTGATTTGGCTCTCATTCCCAAATTTCATTACCTGGTGATTTTGATGGGAATAACCATATGACATAAGATATAGAAATTAGGAAAATAAGAAAAAATGAACCATACATCATCATACACGTGTATATTGTAGGCACAAGTTTAGAAGTTGAGACGTCGTTAGCAAAAAAAGGATGCACATTAATTAAGTTAAGGGATTTATTAAATAAACAATTCAAAATATTTTTTTATTCTGAGGTTGGCCCAAAAATCAATTATTAGAAAGGAAGAAAAAGGCACAGATATGGACATAAATGACAATAATTTTAGCTCGCTTGATTCATAATCAACCTTAGCCTGAGCAATGAGTGCATGCACGCATATGTAATCTGCATTTTTGGTAATTCATACACCACTGTTTACGTTCTGTCTTCAGCTAGCTACAATATTCAATTATATTAGTGGCAAGGTCAGTAGAACACCATAAACATTTTTAGCATGGCTAAGTGTCGGCTGTAACAAGTTGAATTTATTTTATTCAATGTGATTCTATTCAGCTTTACTTCTCTCTGAACTCTATAATCTTTCCCTCATCCAATTCCAAGCCATATAATTTCAACAGTAGCCAAAAAAACTTTTCAGTAGCCACCTCAATTTCCATTAAGCAAGCTAGCCTCACTGGTCTAAGCTTAAGCCTAAAATTAAGCCTCGCCCCCTAACAGCTTGGGTATAACTAGAAGACTCCCAGTATTCCATTTTTATTCAGCTCAACTATGCCCTGCCCCTACAGCTATACAAACTTGCAAAGTTCAGGGAGATTATAATGAAGTGCCTAGTTAGCCCCATTTTCGGGGCTGGTGAAGTCAAAATGGCATCAACTCTGAGAATGATAAGTATCAGAAACATTAAGAATTACCAGGTCTTCAAAACATTACTACCAGAAGTAATAGATATTCATAAAGGGAGATAACACAGGAATATTGCAAACAGTAATAGAATCTTACCGAACGGGAAAAACGGAGTGCATCTCGTTTAGACAAATTTCCATTTGACCAGCTTCTCACTTGGGCAGATGCTCCGTCAATCATTGGTGTTACATGAGCTGAATGCTCTGCTTTCCGACGTTTCGGAATACGTTCAGGTAGTTCACTTTCCTTCTTTTTTCTTTTATTACTTCTTTCGAACTGATCATTCTCTGCATAGCTTTTGATATTTCTTGCAGCACGAGGAGCAAGAGCATTCTAAAACATAGGAAAATAGAAGCCAAGGGAAAATAAAATATATTTTAAACAGGTAGCTTATAAAAAAAATAGCATTGTATTAATTGTTCACATATATATCTTGCAATTCAACAACAAAGATTTAAGAAACACACATAAATTCATCTCCAGACCTTATCACATCCAATGTGAAACTCTTAACACATACAATTATAAGAACAAATCATAATAAACAGAATAAGATCAAACCTCTGCCTGAGCGACAGCATCAGCTTTTATCCATCGGCTCCAGAAACTTCCATCATCTTCGTCATTACAAAAATTAGCAACCTGCATAAAAGAAAGATGAAACAAAGACACAGTTTGCTTACAAAATTTCCCACAATTATCCAAATCTATCTATAACATTCTGAAAAATAAACCAATCATAACAATGAAGAAAGATAAAACAATAAATTTCATGACGCTGTCCATTAACTTGCCTTAAAGGCACTTAATAACTCATGTGCTTGTCCACCCTCATTTTCCTTTTCTTCAACCTTCTCTGCTCTTTCGAGGATCTCATCTATGTCCATACTTAAGAGTCGCTTCTTGCTTTCTTCATCATTTCTTTCTTCCTTAAAAAGCTCTTCTGCTCCAAATCTTAAGATTGCTGAGAGTTCATTCTGCCATGTGAGAAGCAAATATTTTTTATAAAGTAATTGTGTAAGAAACAAAACAATAACACCAAGACTGCAAAGTAAAATGATGCAATGCAATCATCAACTTCTAAAGGAAGACTATTATCTGATAGATACACTTCTTTCTTTTTCTAAGAAGGCCTCATAAAGTACAATGAAAGCATGTTAACCAATGAAAATCGCAGTGATTTTCGTGTATGTCCTTACTTTGTCAAAAAAGCTTCCTCCTTTTTTGGCCTCTTTCTTCTCCAGTTTACCCTCTGCATTTAGTTTTTGAATAACCAAGTGGTCGAGAACCTACAGAACAAATTATGTTAAGTTACTGACTACAAGACATGGCAAAAAAATTGAATACATCTGGCGCAGAAATATGTATTTTGAAAATTAGATATAAAAAATAAAGCATAAATACAAGAACAGTAGAGAACATAAAAGTCATAGACACAGAAGATAGATCAATAATCATACCATCTTCTTCTTAGCACGTTCCAAAATATCTTCCTCAACACTTTTGCTTGTAACAAATCTATATATGTTTACAACTTCCTGTTGCCCAATTCGATGAGCTCGACTCATTGCCTTAAAGGCAAACAGAAAAATACGGTTAGTACTAAATATCCTGTGTTGAGTGATATAAAATAAAATGAATTGAATACCTGCAGATCATTTTGAGGATTCCAATCTGAATCAAATATTATAACAGTGTCTGCTGTGGCCAGGTTGATACCCAGACCACCTGCTCGTGTTGAAAGAAGAAAGCAAAAATCATCACTGCCTGGTGCATTGAAATGTTCCATTGCCTGTTGTCGCAGCTCAGATTTTGTACTCCCATCAAGCCTCTGAAATTGAAATCCTCGAAGTGACAGATACTGTGCCAGTATATCTAACATCCTAACCATCTGCATTACAACTCTTGTAACTTAGTATCATCATAGCAGGTAGAATAAAATCCTTCCAGCACCAATCCAGAGAATAAAGTATAATACATACTCATGTTTAAAACATAAATCTGGCTAAGATACTAGAAACAACAATAGGAAATAGTTATTTCTGAACTTCATGGCCACTTTTCATGAATCTTCAACAGTAAATAATTCACAAAATGAGTAATGATGCTTGGCACTTCAGATATTAGCAGTCATCTTTTGTCACTGCAAAACTGCTTGCCAGCTGGGGAATACTTTGTTTGATATTTTCTATGATCCCTGCCCACTACGTTAAATGAATCTTTATCTATTGATTCATGAGGTTTGGAGAAAATAAGAAAGTGAAATGTTAGTCTTGTTTTTCACCTAGGAGTCCTTCAAAAAAATTAAGATATGCAAGTGTAATATACAAATTTTGAAAGGTAAGGCCTTTTTACAACTTGAAACTCTATCCCTATTTAATAAATCAACTTCAATTCCAGGATCATATTTTTAATTTCGCTTCAATTCTTTACAATAAAATTGCAGAGGCATTGCAGCACCATTTTACCTTTTCTTACTGTACAATTTTAGTGGAGTTTGTCTGATAACATACTCTTCATCTCACTAAAATTCCTACTTTATCTAGTGGAGTTCAAAATATCACACACCCAGGCGCAGTCTGATCATATCTAATGTGTCTGTCTAAAATAATGTTATGGTAAAATCTGCATTAGTCTATGTTAGTTAACTTGATAGAAGATTGACTCAATCTTATCATACAAAAGCCTATTGGAAGCAGAGACTACTCCTAAGCATGAGAGAGGGTATAATGAGATCCCAAATCAACTAGAAAAATCATTCAGAAAACCAGTTGAGCTAATAGCTAAAAGGGGTCAAGGTGGGAAAAATCATTCAACCAGCATTATAGAAAGCTAAACCATTGAGACAAAGTATGGTAATAACATGATTGACCAGTAGATCTAAATAATTTTTATTTACATCCAGTACACCCATTTTCAAAAACATACCTGAGAGAAAATCAGTACACGATGCTTTGTCTCATGCAATCTGACAAGAAGCTTATCAAGTATGACAAGCTTGCCACTGCTAAAGACAATTCTCTCTAGTTTACTACTGTCACTACTTTCAGAGTTCCCACCATAATCATGGTCAGCACTTTCAAACAGGAAGGGATGATTACAGCACTTCTTCAATTCTACCACAATATTTAGAAGAGAAACCTGAATCAACCACGCCAAAAACTTAAGTTGTTAGGTGATGGCATTGGACTTGAAATGGTTGGACTAATTTACCTAGTGCAGAAAAATTCCAGTTTATAATTTATATAACACAAATGGAACGGGAAGGATCAAACTCTGTCATCTTTAGAGGCTAATATAGTATTATCATAAACCGACTATCCCAAAAGTTAAGTTGTTAGACAAATGCAAATGAATGGTGTTTTATCACATCTCTAACAATCATGAAGTGAGGAAATCTGAATCTATAAATGTATTTATCAATGAATATTACAGAAACAAGAGATAGACATTTTAACCTGGTTCCCTCGAACTCCCTTGTTTAAATCATGAAAGTTGCGTTCCAAAATCCACTTATAATACCTAAATTGATGAAAACAGCCGCATCAATGTAGAAAGTGAATTTATAGGAATATCTAATTATCTATTTCGAAATTAAAATTGTACTTACTGCTTCTGCAGAGGAGACATGTCAACCCTAAGAATACGCTCAATTTTGGGGGGTAACGATTTCTCTACGTCTTTGATAATTCTTCTAAGTATGTGAGGCCTCAATTCCATATGAAGATTAGCAAGCTAGTAAAACAGATGGGCCCAACAATTCATACAGAGGATCAAGAGTGAGATAACTGAGAAACGGAGAAAATTAAGTAATAAGAATGATGGCAAAATACCTCATTTTCATTGAAAGAACTTAGATTCTTATAGTTTTGGACAAATTCATCTTTGCTCTTGAACTTATCAGAATCAAGGAAGTGGAGCAAGGCCCTGAAAAGGTGGAGGCAGCAAAGTTATTATACTATTTAGAGGAAATAAAATGCAAATAAAATTAACCCTATGGTTTCTTAAATTTATATAATACTTCTAAAACATTAAGCTAATTTTTCCATGTGATATCTCTAAAAAGGTTATTAATTCAAACAAAATATGGACCCACTTGTGTAAGCTTTACGAAAAGTGATTATAATGTTACGTAAAAAAACAATTTATTTTTTAAAGAGAAGCTATTTTTCATTTAGCTGCAAATTGCAATTATAAGGAAAATAGAGGTTAGAGGCAACAAATTCAGATTAATCAATTTTGGACTAAAAAAGTAAGCAATATCATGTTCATTAAGCCAACTTTGACACAGTGAGAAACTGACACTGAAACGTAGTATAATATCATAATCATTTTGAAGTTCCGATGTAAGTATTAATATAAATTTGCTGTCAACAGGATGAGGTTTATATGCATTTATAATGTGCATAGGACAAATAACAAGTGAGAGATAATATACCACAATATAAGCTTCAGAACCATAGTTTTTTGAGGTTGTTTGGAACTGATTAACCCTAGTTATGTCCCAACTCTGAAGCTCTATGTTTAAGGTTATAACTAAAATATTTCTATCAAATTGGTATATCAGCATATGTATACAGGAAACGTTCAAACTTGCAACCCCAGAGATACAATCTGTGACTTAATGGGTTTCAGAATGAAAAGGTGAATTTACAGCAAAGCAACTGGTAACTTACCTAAATGAATAATTAGCATTTTATTTATTTGTGCAAAAAAAGAAATAATAAAAACCTAGCAATCCCTCAAAAAATTCAAGGTTGCTTTTGACAAGTCTGGAATAAAGAAAAATGTTTTAATACCATAGCTCTTCAACACTATTTTGCAGTGGAGTCCCGGTGATCAGCAACTTGTTCTTTGTGTTGAATTCCTAAAAGATTAGGGTAGAACCAAACTAAGAATATAATTATAAATATTAACCTCAATATCATAATCACTAGCTCAACTAAAATTAAGTGCAGAAGTTGCTCACTGAAAGTGCGGTATACAACTGGGCCTCGCTATTTTTAAGTCTATGAGCCTCATCTACCATCAGATAGTTCCATTTGATCTTTGAGAGAACAGCTTTATCCTTCAGAACTACTTCATATGTAGTCAACAGTGCATTGAATTTAATTGGCCTGCCAGCTTTGTTCTCATTATAAAATTCATATTGTTGGCAAACCTGCCACAAAAGAGGAAAAAAGAAAACGAATTTTCATTAAAGATTTCAAACAAATAAAAAGAAATGCGTCAATAGTTTCTTCCTGAGACTCCAAAAAGGGGGGAATTAGGAGAGGAAGATCAACCATCAGAATCACATATATTTTCCAGAGTCTAAAACCAATAGTTTAGCAGCCAACAATTGCCAATGAAAGATGGTGGTAAGGGATAAATCTCGCTTCCATCGGAGTATTATTCACATCTTCGCGAAGAATAAGAAAAAGATCATAACATATAGGACAATTCAAAACCAAAGTACCTGGTATCAGATCCCACACTGCATGATAATGTTGATAAGAAAAAGATACATTGCATGCCAAAAAGGCAAAGTAATCATGTGGATTACATAAAACCTCTGCCTGGTATCAAATTCCACACTAGATTATCCTCTTGCCTACTTTTATCAGTTTGTGCATGTTATACATGTTGCTAAACCTCATTCATCCTTACACAAGACCGCGATCGACACAAGACAGAGAAAATGATTTACAATTTTAAAGATTGATGTAATTAGGGACTAGTGAACTACACCTTGCACCCTATTGATGTTCCTTCAGCATAAATATAGTAAATTTAGCAAATAATAAATATTCAAGTACCATCACATGTATATAAAGATTTTGAAGCTTAATTAATACATGAATCAAAGCTCAAAGGAATATCTCACCTCTCTACTTGAACGAGTACCAACATAAACAATAACGTTCATATCAGGAAGCCACTTCCTGAATTCTTTGGCCCAGTTCGATAACGTAGACAATGGGACAACTACAAGAAAAGGACCGTGGATTTGCTGGGCATTCTGTAGCAGAAAATGAAAATAAATTTATCTATTACATTGGAAAGGCATTGGTAAGTAAAGATAAATACCATACCTGTAGAAAACCAAGCATAGATACTGACTGAACAGTTTTACCAAGACCCATTTCATCAGCTAAAACGACATTTGTATCATTTATCCAACTATAACATTAAAATGAAAAAAGATTCAGAACACCAAAAAACAGAAGGCACATTTCATATATGCATACAACTCACAAGTATACCTGTTAACAAGAAAATTCAGACCCTCAAGTTGATAGTCACGAAGCTTTCCACACTTCAACCATTCCGGCTGTTCATCAAGTTTCCGTAAACTTGCTAATCATCACAAAATCATAGATCAGAAGTGCATTTCTACATATGTGTGTTTAAGATGATATATGAAGTACATGAAATTATGACACCATAAATTTCCTCAAACTGTACTCAGTAGAAAAGAAACCCAAAAATACAGCTTTAGAGGACAGGGGAACTAAAAGTAATTGGTAGAATCATTTGACAAAATTTCCACAGTTGACCACAGACATCACAAGTTTTTCAACTAATTCTATTTAGCATTTATTTGTAAATAATTTGATTTATTTATGGTTTATGACTAAGAAATCCATGTAGCAGAGATGAGGATGTTGCGGTGGATATGTGGTAAGACTCGACAAGATAAAATTAGAAATGAAATTATTAGAGAGTGTTGGAGTAGCGCATATTGTAGAGAAGATGGTGGAAAATAGACTTAGGTGGTTTGGGCATGTAGAGAGAAGACCTGTAGACTTTGTAGTAAGGAGAGTAGACCAGATGGAGAGAAGACAAACAATTTGAGGAAGAGGAAGACCCAAAAAGACTATAAGAGAAGTTATCAAGAAGGATCTCGAAATTAATGATTTGGATAGAAGCATGGTCTTTGATAGAACATTATGGCGAAAGTTGATCCATGTAGCCGACCCTACCCAGTGGGATAAGGCGTAGTTGTTGTTGTTGTTGACTAAGAAATCCAAATTTTGTTAAGTAAAAAGAATTACAAAAAATGTTATATAACAGTTTTATTTAATTGGTAATGGTTGATAACTAATATAAACAAATAAACCATCATCTATATGGCTTTGTCAGAAATGTAGATTAGTTGTCACTTAAAAATTGCAATTTGTAACTGTACATTCTCATGGACAATGTACAAGATGAGTTTATAAGGAAAAGGATTAAATAATCTCTATACAGAACCCAAAATAATAAAACCAGGGAAACAGACCCCTAGTAACAAATGGCTTTCAAAATTTATACCCACATCAAATTTTCTCATAGAAATAGTTTGCAGGCACAACAGTGAAAGCAGTTGACAGTTATGCACCCTAATTACTCCCTCCTAATTGGTTTACATAACATAGAAACACACATTTCTCATCCTGTTCTTTCTTTCCAGTAGCAAGAGTTGCTACTAAAATCAAGACGCAGAAGTCATTCATGCGAGAACAAAATAGTATACCCAATAGGATTCTGCTATACTACATAGAGGATTGTCAGCCCTAGCTGTCAACCCCAAGCAAAAATTATATAGTTATAGCCAGCACACAATTAGAAAAATTTTATCGAAAAAACATAGATATTTAAACCTAGAATTTAAAATTAAAAAAATGGTAGATTATCACAAATGCATCAACAGTACTGTGTCAACAATAGAGTAAGGTGTATAAGCACGTAAAAAAGTTCTCCGTTTTATTGAAAAGAAGAGGGAACAAAGTATAAATATGCAAATATATTTGCATTCTGCACTAGAATCTCAGAACAGCACTGCCCTATTCAACCTTATATTATTCGTAAACGAACCAACCTTTGCTCTTCCTACGCTGAAGATCTACCACCATCTTTCCTTGCACTGACATTGCAGCCTCGCGAGCCTGTTCAAATATGACACAACGGCTTAGTATCTATAAAGTTTTTCCTGTATTAATCTGTGCAGCACAGAATGATAAACAAAGATGCTAGAAAAAAAATACATTATATGGAAACATAAAAAGAAAAACCCACATAAGAATATTCAACTATCCATGGCATGAAACAAAGAGAATGTTCAACTACCAACGAATTAGCCACGACGCAAATGTTTCACTACTGATTACCATTTCAAACAAAAACAATGTCTATCAGTATGCACCACTAACTTCAAAATATATTGCCACATCAACACTGATGTGCTGGTCAAGTTGATAGGAACCTCCAAAGCCTTTCGTAGTAGATAAGTCAATTACACGGATCAAACTGTATCATAATATTCTATCATAAATTATGTATAATGACAAATAGATAGACCATTCAAACCCAAATCATTATTAACGGTCCAACCTATAGGTTTCGTTGACCTCCCTCTAACTATCAGATTATCCTCCGGTTGATCTACCTCTTGCTAATGTTTCTACGGGTCTTCTCCACACATATCCAAACCACCTCAACCGTCTTTTCCACATTGGGTGTTTTCCCAATTTTCTCTAATGTTTTCATTTCTGATCTTATCTTGTCATGTGTAATCATTTACCCATCATAGCATTCTCATTCCTAGAACACGGCACACTTTATTGTTGACTCTTTACCACTAAGCATCCAATCTCTTATACAACATTGAAAGTCTTGTAGATGTGTAGTAAAATTTTCTTTGAAGTTTTTCATGGTACTTCTTGAATTACACCTGAAGTATACTTCAGTTCATTCGCCCTGCTTGATGCTTGAATCTTGCAATTCAAGCATCTCTATTTCCATTTCATACAATTATCATGTTCATTTTATAATGTATCATACTCATATCCATGATCATAGCTCTTAGAATATGTGGGTTGGACCTTAATTCATCCCTACAAAACCGACTTGAAAGGTGAGGGTTGCCCCAGTTTTTATAAACACTACACGAGTCATATCTCTAAGCAATGGGGGACTAAAGCCACCCCTTCAAACCAAACACAAGAAAGGCGTTGGAGGCTGCAATGAAGGCAAACCAAATGTCATAATTTAGACGACTAGGGGCGGACCGCAATGAATGCGGAAATTCCAACACACCCCCTCACGCTCGGGCCTCAATGAACCCGAAATATGGTCGATGCGGGAAGCCCAACAAGTGATCTAGGATATGCTCTTATACATTCTTAGAATGTGTGGGATGGGCCTAACTCATTCCTACAAAGCCGGTTTAAAAATCGACTTGTAAGGTGAAGATTGCCCCCACTTATAAATACAACGCATGCCATATCTCTAAGCAATGTGGGACTAAATCCACCCCCTTCAAATCCAACACAATGAAGGTGTTGGAGGCTGCAATGAAGGCAAGCCAGATGCTGCAATTTAGGCGACTAGGGGCGGACCGGAATGAAAGCGGAAATTCCAACAATAGCAGTGCTTTCTAGCTTCAATGTGAGTTCCAATCTCCTTGTTACACCATTCGCTCTCAGCTATGTTGCACAAGCTAACTACAGACCAGATAGTGGATAATAACTTCAAAAATAGATGATAGTGTACAGTTCATTAAAAACTGTCACGAAACTGACAAAATAAAATGTGAAGAAAAATATAATATAATTGAAGGGCCACCTTATATTCATCAATAGCGTCTTGAGCAAAAGCAATATCAATGTCCTTCTCCCTATTTATATTAACAAAGAACATAAGCTTGTCAATTTACATAATGTCAATAGAACAGCACAAACACGGAAAAACTGCAAAAAGCTACATAATATTCGCTAAAGAAGCACCTAAAACATGTGCATCACCAATTCCTAAAGATCAAACGATCTTCCTTGCTAATATGAATGCACTGGTTGTGAAAGTAAAAAATAAATAAAAAATTTAAAAAAACATAAATATATAAATGATAACTAGATCTTATGTAGCATACCAGGTCACTTCAGCATAAGACAGTCCTTTCCACTTGACCAAATATTCTGGAATAACATTGCCAGAATTGTCTTTGCTAATCCTATCTGAAATTATTCTTTCCACCTAAGAAAGCAAGTAAAAACCAATTAGGAATACCTCCAAATTAAACAGAAAAATAAACACCGAATTTACAAAAAAAGTGGGAAAAACCACCTGACTGTTTTGTTTGATAATATCTATGTCCATCTCCTTACTGACATCGTTGATCTCAATCTATATTGAGAACCAAGAAATGAGCAAAAGTTAAAAACAAATAAATAATATTAATAAATCATTATAAAATCATTTAAATATAGATTTTTGACAGTGTAACTGTAAAGGAATAATACACAACTCTTTCAAGATGTAGAAACAGAGAAGTGATAGATAAGAGAAACTACACTGCCGGATACAATCAAAACCACACAGAACATGACATCAACTAAAAACTTGTAGTTAACAAACAGAGTAAGCACATTTCTGAGGCCAATACCAAATGCACTATATATATACTCAGAAAATACTTCACAATTTACAATTGATCGCCTCTTTAATTAGACATTTATGGCAATTTGCCTCTCAAAAAAACTTAAAGTGATTAACTACTTCATCTAAATCAATAGCATTAGTAGTTATATGGTCAATTAATGAAAAAGAATATAAAGGAAAGCATAGCTCAGTAGATAAATCCATTTACCTCCTCTCTCGATATTCTCATCCTGTACCTGATTTCCTCTGTCACTCTCTTGGTATAATTCAAAACTTTTTTAAAACCACTGAGCTGCAATTTCATACAGACAAAATGTATTACAGTACAGAAATAAGAAAAATAGGAAAATATTAAATTATTACAGATTAAACCAAAAAAATGAGACAGGATTATTAATGGGAGGGAGAAAGACAACGTGAGACAGTACATAAGCGCAATTATTATTAATGCATTTGAACAATACAAAGGAGAGGCATACATTTTGGAGCATGATAAATGACTTCCACTGACAATGCAAATGTGACTGGCCTTTCCATTTTATCAAAAATTCCATGTTGTTCCAATCAGGTTCAGAATCAAATAAGTGACTCATTAAAACAGGCTCCATTGATTGATTATTCTCTTGAGCCTCTGCAGCCATGCCTTTCGGCTGATGCCAAAGCACCTTTTCAATGGAGTCCCTGTCGTCTTCTTCAATTTCTTCCTAAACAATATTTAACATGGCTAAGCAATATCTCATCAACGAAAATAAATCAAAAGTATACATGCAAACGGGCAGGTATCACACTAACTAGAATAAGTAACATCTCACACTTCCTCCACCTTGCAATTTACGTGCATACAAACAAGGATACAAATATTAGAATGAAATCAATATTATTTGGACAAAATAATAAGCTTTACAGATCAGAATGTTTATACACCAGTTTAATGTAACAAATTGGTGTAGACTTGAATAGGCACCTGCAACTTAGACAAGCATCTGATGTATGTGTTTCTTTCTACTCTGGAGCAGTTTTGTTTTTTAGGTTTTAATGTTTTGGCAAAACAAATTTTGGCACAATGTACAATTTATGTACATTTATTGAAAACACAAATTTTAGGGTATCTCAGTCTCTCATCTTTGAGGCACAATTGTAATTTTAGCTTTTTTATAGTACTCTGCTAATGGTTGTTTCAAGGAAGTTGCCATTGCAATTACTTAATTGCAGTATACTGATTGGACAACCTACAAATCTTTTTAGAATAAAATGCAGTCTTTAGTCAAACAATCCAAAACATCCTATTGAGTATAAAATGTAGTAGTCTCCTATAAAGATTGTGAGCATACCTTGAATATGTGAAATTCACAACTAACATATAAGGAATGTCAGTAGATATAATGAGGCCCAAAACATTTGCACCAAATACTGACAGTGGAATAGAAAGAAACCATGGTTAGCTGTAGTACCTTTTGAGACTTCTTCCCTTCATCAGCAGCTTCACTTTCATCACTTTCAACATATGATACTTTCCTAACTGTTCTAGTAGAAGAGCGAACCTCAATGCTGTGCCTGTATGAACTTGTGGGTGCAGGTGATCGGACATTATTCTTGCGTACATGCACACGTCTCTTCTTCAAGCTTATGAAATCTTCATCACTCTCACTGTCAGAATCCTCTGCTGTAGAGTCATCATCTTCATCTTCAAAAGATGCTTGAACTCTTCTTTGTCGACTGGATGCAGTACATGCTTTACGATCTCTGGTTGGTCTTACACTTCGTCGAAATTTACCTCGCTGCTTTCCCTTAGCCTTCTTGTCTAAATAAGAATCATCGTTATCCCAAACATCTATGTCCTCATCACTATCATCAGCTTCATCTGAGTCCTCTCCTTCCCGATCTTTATCCTGAAATTATGGTTCAACCATTTTATTCTACTCAGACAATAAAAAAAAACACAAAACAAAATAAAATTACTGTACGCTTCTATCCAGTTACAATATTTTTCAGATCCCGAAGTCCCGAACAAATTACACTACTAATTATTGGCCCCATTGAGTAAAATCAATTATTTTCTACCCAATGTCGATTTTCTTTTCACAAAATATGTTTTCTCCATTTGAATTCACCCCACTAATTTGAGTTATCTAAATATCTTTAGCCCACTATCGCTAAATCTCTATCACAGGAAATATAACCAAATTCTATTTTTCTATGTCAGTATTATCTAGTAATACAAACCATAAATAAAAACAAATACATGACAAGAATGTATCCCAATGCTAAATGCTGGAGTTGAATACAAATAAATAATGCAATACCTAAATGAACATCAATTAGTGTAAAATATAAGTATATATACTATACATATTAGGATTTCATGTGGTATTCAAGCAGAGGATGCATTTAATGCCAAAAATGGAATTTTTTAGCACAGGGTTTCAGTTTTAATATATTAACTTGCACTACGTCTAAGAAAAGACCTCGCTTATCTTGGTATTTATATTTCCGGTTGTTATCGCAATTTAAACATTGCCAGAAGGATAGTTGTGGTGGTACCCAGGAAATATTGTATTTGCATTCTTTTTTTACTGGAATATTGTATTTATTTATAGAGATTAATTGATATACACTATCAGTGTAAAAAAATTTACATCATCAGTGCATCATAACCATTCAAATATATTATTTTAATAAAAATTAAAATAAAAAATAAATATTTAAAACAAATCAATGACAGTGATTCGCTGACGGTGTAAAACATCTTCACATTGTCGGTGCATGAGTATTATTCTCTTATTTATATTACCAATACAAACAAAAGATATTCACTGATACTATTTATTTGTGTTCCAAACAAGACAAACAACAGCAACATGAAAAATATGTATCCATATTATATATTTCATACCTTAGGACAGGACCATGGTCTGTCATCAAAATAGTGCATTCAAAATCAAAACCGTTCCTTACTGAAAATTATAGGCTTAATTGCATATTGGCAGTTTCCCCAGTGTGCAAATAATAATAATAAAAATAATAAGCAATGTGAAATATATTTTTCAGTATATATATATATCTATATATATCTATCTATCTATATATATATCTATCTATCTATCTATATATATATATATATATATATATATATATATATATATATATATATATATATATATATATATATATATATATATATGTATATGTATATGTATATAGATATAGATATATATATATATATATATATATATATATATATATATATATATATATATATATATGTATATATATATATATATATAGATATATATATATATATATATAGATATATATATATATATGTATATATATATATATATATATATATGTATATATATATATATATATGTATATGTATATATATATATATATATATGTATATGTATATATATATATGTATATGTATATATATATATATATATATATATATATATATATATATATATATATATATATATATATATATATATATATATATATATGTATATGTATAATATATTTCACACCTTAGGACAGAACCATGTTCTTTCATTAAATTAGTGCATTCAAAATCGTCCCTTACTGAAAAATATACACTTAATTGTATATTTGCAGTTTCCCCAGTGTGCAAATAATAATAATAATAATAATAATAATAATAATAATAATAATAATAATACTCCTTCCATCCCTTATTATAAGACTCAAAAACAAAACTCAGGTGTCCCGTTAAGTCAACTTAGTTGGTAGTTATGTAGGGACATCAAAGGTAGGGGCGTGGGTTCAAACCCGCAACATCCCACTTGTTCACCTTTAAAAGGGTGAATTCCAGTCACTAGGCTACTTGACCAAAAAAAAAATACTCAAAGGTATTAAAAAAAAACCATAATTAGTGTACTAGGCTACTTGACCAAAAAAAAAATACTCAAAGGTATTAAAAAAAAGCCATAATTAGTAGTACACTGTAGAAAGTCACAGCACAACCAGACAAAAGAACATACTCTTTCTTAGAATGTGTGAGTTGAGCCTAACTCAACCCTACAAAACCGGCTTGTAAGGTGAGGATTACTCCCACTTATAAACTCATGTTCAGGCCATATATTATCCGATGTGGGACTCTTAGCACCCCCTCTCACGCCCAGGAATTAGGGCTGGAGCGTGGAACTAAATGGTAGGTGGCCCAATGGATCTTAGATGAGGCTCTGATACCATCTTAGAATGTGTGAGTTGGGCTTAACTCAACCCTACAAAACCGGCTTGTAAGGTGAGGATTACTCCCACTTATAAACTCATGTTCAGGCCATATATTATTCGATGTGGGACTCTTAACACTCTTAATTGCATTGTCTAGTCAAATATTGCAGAGAAATAATTGCATTGTCTAGTCAAATATTGCAGAGAAAATATAGTCAGTTAACCACACACACCTAATAATGATTTATGCAGCTTATATAGTCCATTTCCGTCAAACTACATGAGCAACTGTGCAGGAAAAATGTCGATGTCACTATGCATAGATCTGTAGCTAATCTCAAAGTATAGTTAAATGGGAATGTGAAAGGTCTAAGGAAATATGGTCAGCATAAGTCAAACTAAGCATTAAGGTTAATCTTTTTATGATTAAACCATCTCTCCCAAATAATACATCCTTGCAATACTAATGCTTATCTAACCACAAAATGCAAACAAGTATGACTAGACAGGCTTATCTAAAACCTTAAGCAATAAAAAAGTAAAGGAGCAAATCCCACGTCACTTTTTTCACCATGTAATCTAATATAATCATAATCTGCATTATAAAGTATGTATAAATAAATTAACTCATAAAAGATCTGATTTCTAAGCTTGATGGAACTTTTGGAAAATTCAAATTACGCACCCTGAGGAACCACAGGGAACAAAGCCCCTGGGTGTAGAGCAATGAAAAGAAAAATACAGTTACAACTGCAAATAATAATTCTCTCAAGGTTGGTAGAAATAGCATCCATGTGGCAACATTTAAATCATGTATACTTACTTACGCAGAAGGATAAATGCAAATGATATAAACTTATTAACTATGATAATGGATAGCCACAAATAGACCACCTTGTTTGCACCACGACGGCTTGTTGCAGGTTCAAAGTCTGCATCATCAGGATCATCTTCTGCAAGGTATTTAAAATATAAATTAAAAACTGCATCGAAAGAGTCCATCCCTAATAACAACATAAGTTCAAAAGAATAGAGGCTCGATTTGTTAACTTCAATAGTACAACTTCATCGTAAAGCAACATTATATATTTAAATGTGGTGTTCACATACCATCTGATTCATCTTCTTCATAATCAGCATCACCATCGTCATCCTCAGAATCATCTAAAATCCTAGATTTCCTATGCACAACACCCCTATTGACATTAGTCGACTTCCGTTGAAGGCATGAATTTGATGCCGTAGATCGACGAAAACCCCTGGCATGCATCGAGTCACTCTGTTCTTCCCCATCCTGCTCATAATACTCATCAGACAGCATCTCTTCAGCAGGAACATCGGAATGTCCCCTTTGACCTTTTCCTGAATCCTCGTGTCCATCTTCTTCTGCTGAGCCCAATCTTTCTTCTCTTCCTTCCGATGAATGATGTTCAGATTCATCTACATTTCTGTAGTCTCCATTCTGAGAGCACATAGGCTGGCAGTCTTGCCAAAATGAAGAACCCCACCTTCCATTAGTAGATGGGTTCCTGCTCATAGTCTCTTCATTTAGTTCTCTTGTATCAACCCGATCATCAGCAGTTGCCTCCTTTTGCTTCCTACCAGCTTCATCTGGTTCAGCATCACTCTCGTATTGTGCCTCCATGTTCATGTCAGCTTCATTTTCACTAGAAGTTGCATCAACACATTCACTACCAACTGATCTGCAAGTTCTGTCAGCATTCTTTCTTTGGCCTTCAACTTTCAATACTCTGCGTGACACTGCATACAATGAAAAGTTTGTAAAGAACGCCATCCTGACATGTAGGACTACCTTATAATTTAATTTACTTCATTAAGTATCCTTACTATAGAGCTATTGAATCTAGTCAAAAGCCCAGTATATGTCACCTGCTCATTCAGCTATCTCCGTCGCCACACTGTATGATCAAGAGAGTGATCGATGATCAGCAAGACCTTGAACCAAACTCAAGCAATTAGCCAACACAGTGATAATACTAAAAATGAAGCAAATTAAATTAAATTAGAAAATAGACAAAACCCATATAGAATCTTCCAGCTCAAAATAAGGTGGAAGAAAAGCATGCTAAAAAATACACTTGGTGTACAGTTTGCAGTCGCATACATTTGTATCCAAAATAATTATATAGCTGCTTTAGGACAAACATATATTTGGACACTGCGAGTTTTACAAATGCAAACCAAACATATTAGCTAACTCAGCTCTTACTAGAAAAAATTGAGCTCCAGAACCAATCAGTAGCATCAGTGAGTTAAAATCCCTAACCAAACATACTGAATTGACTTCAAATTTCAAATACTACGGTCTACACGACTAAAATAATAAGAAAAGAATATATATGCTATCAAACTGAATCCTATTGATAATGGAGGGAAAAGGCACTACTTCAAACTAGTGCCACAACGGTCAAAACTGAATTCGATCAACATGAATTCAAATCCTACATTGGCCAAAACACATGAATTCAACACCAGGCAGTCCGAACAAGTTCAACATGCAAAAACAACATCAAAGCCAAATCAAAACGGTGAAAACAACGGATCAACGAGTATATTTAACAAGCAAGGAAGCTCTTCCAACTAAAACCCCTACGAACTTCAAACTGCGTCCTAAATCAACAATCGGAAACATAATTCACAAAACCAAATCTCCGAGCGTCACATAGACTTAATCTCACGAACAATGTCACAACAACCACGAGTATAAATTACTAGACGCTCGCTCACCTTTCCAACACACGGAGTGTTCGTCCAATTCGGAAAACTGTACGAGAAATGAAGGAGATAAGTATGATGATCGCGCGCGTCTTCGCCGGCGAGGAATCGTCAGAAACCGAATCGCCGGCGAGCGAGTACTAGTGAAAAGAGAAGGCGCGCGAATGTTCGGATTTCGTAACGAAAGTACTTCGCGAGCGAGATTTTGAATGCTAGTGCGGTGGAGAGGACGACGGAGATTGGATGGTTGCGACGGCGAGATTGTAACGTCTGATTTTGAGTGGAAGGAGGGAGCGATTTAGGTGAATCGACGATGGGTGTGTTGTGTGAGTCCGTGCTGCAGATGAAGAGGGGGAAAGAGAAACCAAAGCTTTTTCCTTTGCCTTACGAATATTCATGTGTATAAAATATTTATATTTAAATAAAATTAAACAAAAAGTATAGGAATTTTATAAGAGTGATTAAATATTAAAAATACTTTATATAAAAAAATATTAAAAATACTAATAAAAAAATAAAAAATAACAAAAAAATAGATGATAGGTAAAGAAACTTTATACAATTATCTAATAAATAACTACATTTCGTTATATTATACAGATAATTAAGAATTACTTTAATAATTTGATATATTAATGATTTCTAATTGTTGAGTGTATAAAAAAATTTATACCGACCCTGTATTTTCATTAAACTCAAAAAATAAATATATTAATATAATAGTTTAATTTAATAGATTAAATATTTTAAAAGTTTGTCCTTTAAATAAAAATGTGGCTTTAATTACTTAACATTTGTTAAATTACATAAATTTATTTTTCAAAAAATTATTTTCTCAAATGAAATTATTTTCGATTTGATTTATTCATGTAAGCACTCATGAATGTAAAATCTTGTTTTATATATATATATATATATATATATATATATATATATATATATATATATATATATATATATATATATATATATATATATATATATATATATATATATATATATATATATATATATATATATATATATATATATATATATATATATATATATATATATATATATATATATATATATATATATATATATATATATATATATATATGCAAAATCTCTTTTAATTTTTGTTGAATTTGCAATCAATATTTATTTATAAAGGAGATATCAAGATTTAATTTAGTTTTTTATTTAATTTTACTTTTATTTTGATTATTTATTTTATATTTTATCATTTTAAACTCTGTTTTGTATTAATGCAGAAAGAGAATTAATCTAATTTAACACTTTTAATCATGTAAATAGCACTAAAATATTAAAGGAAAATTATCGAGAAAAATAAGATGAAATTTATAATAAAAAATCATTAATTTCTCCAAAATATTAAATATGTTTACTTCAATACAAAGAGTGTTTGTCCAATTTGAAAATTATACCAGAAATAAAGGAGACGAGTTTGATGAACCTGCATGTGTCAATTAGAAATCGTTAGAAATTGAATCACTGTAAATGATACTAATGAAAATAAAAGATGTGAATATTTGAATTTCGTAACGAAGACACTTCACGAGCTAGATTTTTTAATGTTCTTGTGATGTGTAGTACTCTAATTTTGTCTGGGGTGTTTATTTTTTTAGTATAACTTTTATTTTAGTTTTTTAGAAGTATTTCAAAAAGTATTTAAAAAATTAATTTATTCTTTTATATTCCGTCATTAAAATATTATCATTTTTATATTATCATTTTTATTAATTTCTTTTAAAAATAAAAAAAAATATATAACATTTTAATTTATTATTATTTTCGTTTTTTATATTTGTTTATTATTATTTTATGTTTTTATTTATTTTATTTTTTTTTGGTTTTTTGGTTTTTTTAATATTAGCTTGTCTCCGATTCAATTTTTGAATTTTTGTTTTTTGTCACTCCATTTTGGGCAATTTGGTCCCTGCCACCCCTCACATATGTCTCCACTACTCTCAAATTATATTTCCACTACTCTCTCATACAAAAGGTACTAGAATTTGTCTTTTGTATAAACTCTAAATTTTTATTGGATATAAATAATAAATATTAGCCACACATGAAAAGGAGACACGTAATTATAAAAGAAAAGAAGAAAAAAATTATATATTTTAAATATAGAAAAACAATTAGATTATTTATTTAGTTACTTAATTAATTTATGATGAGTATATGTGACGTATTTGTGGTGTTTATGTGATATCTCGATGGACATGATATTTTGTGTGGTGTATGATGGGATTGGATAGTGAGAATTAAGATGATATTGAATATTTTTAAAATAACTTGAATAATTAGAATAATTAGTTGGGATTACTTTAATTAGATAAATAGAATAATAATAAGAGATAGAGACTATGGAGACGAGGTACTAACATGATGTAAGTGAGAGTGAGATGGGAAGACCGTAGAAAATGTCTAAAGATTAAACAAAGAATAGAGGGAAAAGACGAAAAGTGTCTCATTCAGTGTGATCGTGAAAGAAAGTAAGAGGAACATTGTGAAGAGAACTAGTGTAACACCCTAAAATGATTAAATTATTTATTTAATTATTTGATTAATTGATAATGGGTATTCGCGACTTATTTATGATATTTATATGGTGTATTGATGATCATGATGCTTAATATGATATTTTGTGCGGTGTATGATAGGGTAGTAAGAATTAAGAAGGTATAGAGTAATTTAGAATAATTTAGATAATTAGAATAATTAGTTGGAATTATTTTAATTAGAATAATAATAATAATAATAATAAAATAGAGGATATGAGGACAAGGTGGTAATACTGTGAAGTGAGTGAGGGTAAGTGGAAAGATCATAGAAAGGGTTTAAGGGTTAAACAAGGAATAGAGGGAAAAGAGTCACATTCTATGCAAACGTGAAAAGAAGAAAACTCTCTGGAGAGCTAGGGCACGGAATGTGTAACGCTCGATATTTAATTAATTATTTAATTAAATATCTTCGAAGTATTTTCGAATTATTTGTTGAAATTGTTGGAATTGTGATATGTGGTGATAAGTTGCTAAGTTGTTATTAGTTGAATTATTAGTTGGTCAATTAGTTGATCAATATTATTGTTCTGGATTGGGCCCGCCCTGGCCCAAAAAACAGGGATAAAGGCCCAATCCAAACAGTTCCTCGAGGAATGTGTGTCTGTGGATTCCCACCAGCGTGCCCGACCATAGACTACAGCCATGTCCGTTGTTGCCCGCGACACATGGTGTCTCCGACCAATGGAACTCCAGCTCGAGCCCTGCTCGAGCACTCTCCCCGTAGGACAGATTTTGTCCTCTCTGACCGTTATCGAATCATCTAAACCCCGAAAAGACCGCGTCTTCGTCCCTCCTCATTCTTCGCAAAGCATCACCAAGAAGGGGACCACGTGTGAGTCCCCACTACACATGTAGAACCTGGCAGTTCCTTTGTTGGGCCAGTTCTGGTCGGCCCCATGAGGGAACCTTGGCCCAGCGCTGGGGGCTATAAAAACCCTTTGTTCCTAGAGGGTCAAGTATTCATCTCTTACGCATACATACACTCTTTATCTGCTCATTCCGTCACTCATTTTAGCATTGGAGTGCCTTGCAGGTACCCCCCCTCCTCCCCCCATCTCACTCAAATTCTTCCCGAGCCAGTCGTGACGGTTCAAATCTGATCAGGTAAGATCAGTGGTGCCGTTTGTGGGAAATTAGCTTCCCCGTCTTGCAAACCCTTGAAGACCAAAGCTCAAAATCACCTTCTACCGTCATGGCTGACTGTTGTACCCCAAAATTTGCCCTCTTTTCATACACGCATATTATTGGTTTTATGGTTATGGAATAAAGGTATATTTATCAAGCTTCTTCAGGTTACAAGTGACGTTTATTTCGTCAATGGATATTCTCATAGTATTTTCCGTGCTGAAGATCGGTTGCCGTTTTGTAACGATTCGGGGATTCACAAGTCCAACCCGACACTTCATATTCAGGTGTTCTTTCGCCAATATATCTCTGATAACGTATTCTCAAATTCAGGTTCGGCTCAAGAGTCAATTCTTTAAAG